AAAAATTATTTATTTTTTGACAGAGAGAGAGACAGCCAGAGAGGGAACACAAGCAGGGGGAGTGGGAGAGGGAGAAGCAGGCTTCCCACGGAGCAGGGACCCCAATGTGGGGCTCGATCCCAGGACCCTGAGATCATGACCCGAGCCGAAGGCAGACACTTAGTGACTGAGCCACCCAGGAGCCCCTCATTTTTTTTTTTTTAAGTAGGCTTTATGCCCAGCATAGAGCCCAACACGGAGCTTGAACTCATGACCATGAGATTGAAATGAGGTCAGATTAAGTTGGATGTTTAACCGACTGAACCACCTAAGCACCACTAGCTTGCTCATTTCTAATCAAGGAGATCTTTAGGGGGTCAGTTGTAGGAGAATCTATTTCTTTGGATGGAAGAGAACTACTTAGTGAATTATCAGTTTTGTGTATTAAAAGGTTGAGTATTCTTATTGAACAAATGCACAGTTAGTGTGTGATTCACTCCTTCCACTGAAATGTCAGACCCACCACACACATGGGTATATATTTGGGGCAAGTATCTAATTTTGAAGGCTATGGGAACTTGTAAATTTAAATTATAGGCTAAAGGTTTTATTACAGCTCTTGCCAGTCAACACGAAGGTGATACTGTATGATGGAGTAAACAAGTGGAGGGGATTGAGTTTGGAGTTTGTTAATACTATTCAATTGGTATAAATTTGATTACTCAATATCCCTCTGTGCCATGCAGTCTACTAGGCATAAGGGATAACAATGAAGAAATGACAGAGTCCTTGATATACAGTTTAGTGGGGGCAAGAAAGACAAGGATATGAGCAAGTCCAGTAATGTGGTGGTTCTGTGACATCGATAAACAGAAAGTGTTTGAAGCGTATAGACGAGGGAACACCCTTAGGGCAGCCTGAACCGTTAGAGAGAACAGGGCAAGAGGAAGTCACCCAGAAAGGCTTTTTGTTTAGTAGGTGGCATCATAGATTACTTCTAAGGGATGTTTCAGAGTTAGCCAGGCCAAGAGAAGAGGCTGGGGAGTCAGAGGAAAGGCATTTCAGGTATATAGAAGGATCTACTCAGAGGCCAGAAGGCAGACTCAATCAGCATTGTCCAGTGTGGTTGGGCATGGCAACATACTTCTCCGTAGCATCTCAAAATATTCTGATCTGTGTTTCTTTCTTTGATGACATCTTGGAAATATATGTAAAGTTGATACAAAAAGAGAAGACTAATGGGACACAGTCCACAGAGAGTGGCTAATGTTTGAATGAGGGGAAAGCTTAAAAAGCTGAAGTTTGTGTTTTAGTCCCATCTATCCCGTGGCTTTCATACATGAACATCTGCAGGTGGGGATGGGAATTATTTACTCTGTCCACAACACCTAGTTAGGTTAGACTATTACTGGTTAAGGATGTTAATTTTGTTTAGATAGTGTTTAGATCCTTCCAACCTCCTAATCCTTATTTCCTTTTCTTCCATAGTACATAATAAATATTTCTCATCCATCTTGAAATGCTTTTCCATTTAGTCAGGCTAACATTTTATTTTCAAATATCTTCTATATAAATAATTCCCGGACCATTCTAGAACTAATGACTAAAAAGCCTTGCACATAGAACAAGTATACAATGTAGATGGGTATCTAAGTGTTCACTTGCTTTATGGATTATTTTATTTTTTTGTGGGTTGGATGGATGAAGAACAACCTGGAGTCATACTTAAAAAACATACACACACTGGAGACAGAAATGTTATAGCAATAATTCTATTACTTGGGTTTTTATGTTGTCAGATTATAGAACATTATTATTAAAAAGGTTCAATTATCTAGTCTACCCACTTACTTTATAAATGAGGAAACTGAGGCCCAGAGTGTTAGCATGACTTTCTACCCCAATTAGCTACCTAGTCACAGAGCTAGGACTCAGTTTCCGATTCCTGATTTTCTGATTAGTGTTTTTCTAATCCTTGCTACCATCCAATCTCTGTAATTTACATTTTGAAAGCTTGTATATATCACATAAAGAGAACAAAATTAAAAAAGTCATAGGGCAAGAGAATTCATCACACTAAAGACCTACCAATTATATTTTAATTTTCTTATGGTTCAGCAGTTATTTTAGGGGCCTTACAAAGCCTCAGATGATGCTGTTTTGTCACTGATTATCAATATACATATTATAGGTTTACAAATTACTAGATTAAAACTAAAGTCAAATAAATATAATGCCAGATAAAAGAGTGCACTAGTTCCACATCAATATACTTAATAGGAATAAGTCTCAGTCTCTTCACACAGATCTATAAAATATGCTTCTTTATATGAACAAACCATCCATAGCTCTAGACCTACTCCTGAGGCAAGTAGTTTTGTAAGCAGGTGTGTGTGATAAGTGGGATTATCAAGATAATGTGAGTTAATAATATTTAATAATAATGATAATAATGATATATTCAATTCTGAGTCATACCGATTACCTATGTATAAACTGAAAGGCACCTAAAAAGAGGGATAAAGTATTTGTTATATAATTAACTTTGCTCAGAATCTAAGCTATAAAAGCCACTATTCATTGCCTACAGAAGATTTCCTCTTGAACTGCCTCATGATAATCAAGAAGGACATTGTTGGGTCTACTTGAATTTCAAGTCAGGAATGTTCTTTACTGCTGAAGCAAGCATTTCTATTTCAGAAATGCTTCATGGGCCTTCAGATGGTTGGCTAAATATACTTAGCATTCGAGGATGTCTGCATTTCCCAACAATTGCATTAGACGATGCTTACATATGCACACACTAAAATGCAACTCTATTTTAACAGAGGCATAAAATCTTTAAATGTGATGCCTCTTTTTGCAGGATTAGAAAAGAATATATAACCAAGTTGATTTTTCCTCAAGCACATGCACATGAGGCAAGGAACACTTAATTATATCTTTAAAAAATTACCAAGGTTATAATCCTATTTCCTCACATTTACATAACTCACAAATGCCATGCACATCTCTGTTAAGTGACATGACTTAATGATAACCAGATATGACTTAATGGTAGCCAGATATAGCCGAATGAAACACAACTTAAAAAAATACAGCAAGCATTTTGTTCATTTTGAATAATCACAAAATGTCATGTGCCATGGTCTAGAAATGCAACCATCAGCAAGCACTTTCTGATCTGACTTCCACAGTAGGATTTGGCCACCTAAATAAGTATCACAGAAAACAATGATAATTCTACTTTCAGTCTTTAATTATTATATTCTCTTCTGGTCATAAGTGTAGCACATGAACAGCACAGGGTACCAGTTCCTGCTTGGACCCACTCAGGATTTGTTATTGTTCTGGGGCATATGTGGGCACATTGTGCTTCCTGTCCTTACTCCTTACACAAGAGAGAGGCAACAAAATACACACTGAAAAACTATGGATTAGGATGGGGAGATTGAAACCATCATCTAAGAGAGAGTTTGGCCTTCAATTACTTGCTTTTTCAGCCATCTTATAGTATGGATAACTGAGTGATGGCAGTGATCAGGAAAAAAAAAAGATGGCTATTTCTTTCCTTTTTCTTAAGTCTAAAATAGGATAGGCAATTTAATGGGTTATGGTTATGAACTTCTTTCTTTAATTTGTCTTTTCTTTTCAACCCTCTCTTTACACTGAAATAAAATGGAATACAGCCTGTTAAGAGAAAGTTTTGCAAAGGACAAGTGTCTTAAAGGATATTTTTTTAAGTTGAGAAGCGGTTATAAAAATAAATAAATAAAGACTATTCCAGGAATATAAGAAGAACATGCTTAACAAAAGAATACAGGTAGAAATAATTAATATAAGCCCAGTGAAGAGAGCTAGATAAATAGGAAAAAGAGCTAATGGAAATAAGATTATCAGATTAAGCATGTCAGCAAGAATCAAAATGAAGACATTCTCATTTGATTTTGAAAGTCAAGGTTATGGGGGGGAGGCTATTTCATAGTAGTGGGAAGATATCATCTTCACAGTAGCATTCTGAAAGATGACATACTACAAAGAAAAATGGGAACATAGATTCAAGTTTCATAAAAAGAAAATTTGGATTGGAAGAAAAGAAAAAGTGATATAAAAGGAGATAATTCAGAATTTAGTCATTCTACATGTTTAAGAGAATGTATTATATATGTTAATTTTTACAATTTTACATATTTTAATATTATATATATTTTTAAGTCAGAAAGGAGTTATGGAAAGAATTACTAATGTACTCTTTCCAACTGACTGGGACTAGGGGAAAAATCTAGCTTACTATAAATGAGGCAGAAATGTAATTGAAAAAGAGTGGAAGATCAGAAAACATGGGGTAGATGTGGATTATCTGCATCCTAATTGTAGTCAAAGACACCAAATCAGATCAAAACCTGGGAGTATAAAGGCCAAGGTTGTGGTTTTAGTTTTTTAAAGGAAAATGGTACCTTATATCCCCTTCTTAGACACAAATAGAATTCACTATAGAATAAAGGTTATAGAAAGAAAAAAAAAATCATTCTCTTCCACATTTTTCCTTCTTTTATCTTCAAATTTTAGCTACTTTCACTGTTTTGAGAAATAGCTACAGGAAAAAAATCTTAGCTCATGCACTCATTAGACATATGGAATGGGTATAAATGTGCAAATTTGTAATAGTATTTCTAAAACCATGTTGAAACTGAGCAATTAATTATCTAAAGCAATCAGATGCAAGCTTGGAATTATCTGCTTGTGAATGTACTCATGTCTTGCAAAGTGCCATGCAAAGTGCTCCTAATGCTTAAAGTAGCTCATAAGACCAAGGCCAGGATCCGTGAATGCTGGGCAAGAAAGTCCATACCACACTTGAATGGGATTTGAAACAGCACAATCTTTACGTTTCATTCTAATCTAATGGAAACATCCTCCAGTGATTATGGGGGCTACACTGAAGTATTTCATTAATAGCAACCACATAATGACCATAGAAGGATTACCAAGATTGCAATAGAAATACTAGGCAAACCTACCTTTTATAAAGAAGGATAGCTATGACAATGCAGATGATAAAGACCACTGCAAGGACAGGACCTACAACCCAGATCAAGCCTTCTTCTTCATCTGTGATGGGCTGTGGATCCAGATCCATTGATACAACGGGGTCGGAGTAGGGACTGGTTGCATACATCTTCTGAGGAAAAACAGAGTCTGTGTTACTTATAAACTAATGACTTTCTAGTGTGTGTCCATAGCATTAGAAGGAGCAAAACTTCCGAACTTAGTGGATGTGATGTTAAGTGTATGAAACAATGTCAGTGAAAAAGGAGAGGAGGGAAAGGGATGAGAGAAGAGGTGGGAGAAAAGGGAGGAAGGAGGAAAAAGTAAAGAGATCTTGCAATGGAAATTTCCTTGTAGAGTGAAATATTTTCTAATCAAATCATTTTTGATGGTATAAATTACTCTGTAGACACATTTTCATTGGGATCTATATATGACATATTAAATGACCTTATGAGGTATAAAGTAAAACAGTTAACCATTTACAAAATATTCAAAGAGCATTTACACTGTGCCAAGGTGTTACGTGTTGTGTGAAAATCTACAGAAATATGATAGCTCCAGCCCTAAAGACATTATCAGCCAGTTAAGGAGATCAAATTTAAAAAGTAAACATTTATAGGGAAAAATGTCAGTACTCAGGGAGGGGGAAATGGGGACATATAGGTCAAAGGGTACAAACTTTCAGTTATAAGAAGTTCTGAGGATCTAATGTATTGCAATGGTGACTATGGTCAATAATACAATATTATATACTTGGAAGTTGCTGAGAGTAGATCTTAAGTATTTTTCAGCACACACGCATACACACACACAAAGAGTTAACTATGTGAGCAGACGGATATGCTGCTTGTCTTGATCTTGGTAACCATTCCACAATGTATATTGTACATCAAATCATCATGTTGTACACTTTAAATATATAATTATATTTGCTAACTTTCCCTAAATGAAGTTGGGAAAAATATATAGTTACTTGATGAAGGAATGGACTGAATACTATAAATTTTATTTTTATAACATCCTATGTCTCATTTCAGACTCTCTTAGAACAGTATTGTCTTGACTTTGCCCTCCCCGCTCCCTGGTGTAAGGTCCTAGCTTTTCTTTTTCCAATAGAGACAAATCCACACCTATGGGCTGCCCCACCTGTCCTGCCACTATCTTCTCATCTCTTCTCACTCCAGCTCTACCACTGATTCTGTTTTCTCATTTGTTAAATAGAATTGTCATTATTCAGTCCCTTCCAGACATCTTTTCCAGATTTGCCATAGTTGATTGAGCCTTATTTAAAACTCCTCCACTGGTTCTCCTACTTCTGTACTCAACTGGTCCCATTCTAATCTTGCCAACTGATCATGACCACTTCTGAATCCATCTTGTGCCAGCATTCTTAAGTTTTATTTTCTGCTAGTCATTTTCTCCCTTCTCTGGCAAGGGCATCCTTACCTTTAACTACCAACTTCTATGCAGATTACTTCCCGATTAATGTTTCTAAAGTCAGAAACTCTGCTAACTCCCAGACTTTCATTTCCAATTATTGCTAGAGATTCCTACATCTACCTGCAAGTTAAGAATTGCATGTGTTATTTCCCTGCTTGCTAGATATACCCTCCTTCCAACTTGCTAATTTTTCTCATCTTCTCAATACCTAGGAATGAAAAACTACTGATTTTATTTTGCCAATGACCCTCAGGTTGATCTACCCTCTTTCCAGTTTCATGGGTACCACTTTTCTTCAGGACCTCATTCATGCCCACCCAAAGCATACCGAGAATTTCTTTCTTCCTCTAACAGTCTCTAGGTCTGCTAGAGTTATTATCCTAAACTATAGCTGTAAAACCTTCAGGAGGCTCTCTGGTGATTCCTAAATAAACCCTAGACATCCTAGCAGGGATCTTAAGGGCCTCCATGATTTTGTTTTAAACTTCTGTATCACACACAACATTTTCCATCATACTGAGCTTCTTGCTACTATTCCCTAAATGCCCTATTCTCTCTCTTTAACCCTCTCACAAGTTCCACAACATTTAGCTCCTGTAATCTAACTGATCTCCAAGGCCCCACTTATACTGCCTCCAGTGAAGCTACTACTCCTTAACTGGAAATAATCAATCATTTCACAAAATATAGGTAAAAACAACTTTTAAAATTTCAGGTAGTCCTTTATTCCTTATATAATGGTATTCGCCCAGCTCTATTTTCCTTTTATTATTTGTGCATATACCTTATTTTCTTTAATGAAACTATAAACTCCAGGAAGGTAGGGATTTATATACCACTTGTGTTTGTACACTTAAAGCAGCTAGCACAGAGCTTTGCACTTAATGAGTTCCCAGCAAATCTTCGTCAAATAAAATAAAATGTTCATCTTTTCAAATGGCTGATCTTATCAAGACATGAGAGTGTATTCTCATCTCTCCATGATTAGGAAGTATATCTATTTTTTTCATCTGAATTTAAAGAATTAATTTAGGGCATATATTCTGAATTTAAGTGCAGCAAGCTTAGTGGTCAATCTGGAGGGCCTATGCCCCACTAAATGTTTGTATTCTATTCTTCTTTCCCACTTTCCCCACAGTACTTAGGAAGGAGACTGACTACATTTCCAGATTTTCGAATGTGTCAAAAGATAAAAAGTCAGTACATTTCCAACCTTCTCAGAAGCATCTAAAAAAAAGATATGTACAGTATAAGGACTTGGCAAAGACACTAAATATCCAAGAAACATGATTCTTTATATAAGTGTAATTGTTTGTTTTGGTTTATACTTTCCCCTTTCTATCTTGTAGGTCACACTCAACTGTTTGGCAGACAAAAATAAACAAAACTCTGTGATTTGAAATTCTCTACCAAGGGCCTTAGAGATAATCATCTTGGTCAGCCAAGATACAAATCTAAGCAGAGGTTTTCCCAAAGCACACAGATTTCCAACCCAAATCAGGAAATAGAGACATAAGAAAATGAAAAGAAAAGAAAACAAAACCATAAAGTGATACCAGCCTCATGAAAATAAAACTTGTTCAATGTGTGGGGGTAATAGCCTTTGGTCATTCTAAACCAGCCCTCTGATACTCTTAACATGAAGCAATAATGGACTAGGGAAAGCTCATGTTTTGAGGGGTGGGTCTTTTCTCTATGAAAATTATTAGCCTATCCTGGGAGTGGTTAGGTGCTTAACAACAATTATTCACTAAAATTTGAGGCTTACAAAATGACAGTATCACTGCCAACATTATATTCATTGGATACAAGTCTTTTCTATAAAGTAGATGCTAGCCTGAAAACATATACAACACATAAAGAGCATTGTTGAGAAAGATGATGGAGAAAAGGGACAATTCAGATAATTTATTTGGAAAAAGTCCTAATTACATAATTAATGAAACAGTGAAATGACATACTAAGGGACGATATAGACTCTTCATCATGGGTAATGCATTTAAACACTAGAAACATCTGGGAGAATTCAAACCAGAGTTTCTGACAGTGGTCATCAGCCTGCATGGTCTGCAGAGGCTGCTCTTCTTTGCTGAATTCTCTGATCTACCTCAGTGGTCTGAATGTGCTTTCTGAAACATCTTAAAGCTATATAAGGAAAATTACTTCAAATATCTAAAAGTCATTAAAAACAAGAGAGAAAAAGATGATTTCTAACATTCTATTCCCTTGATGTTCTGCCTTAAAACCTTCAACTAAAAAGAGAAAGCATATCCATGCATTAAAATTCCAGGGAGCCCATCACTTCGTTTTCAAATGACATTCTGTGCACAAAGGTAAACCAGGCAGAAAGGCTGCCTTTGTGTTTTGATTTTCCACGGAGGAATTCCTTCAGTCATTTGAAGAGAAGCCCCAGTATATGTGCTAACACTGGAGGTGAAGAAATCTTTGATTCATCTCGGGCTTCCTCTATAAGGGAAGTGACTGGCTCAACTGAGCTGCCACGCCTGTCAGTTTTAGGCCCCTATTAGAAAGATACAGTTAGAATATGTATATTAAATGTTAATGTGAACTGCCACTTCAAAATCCACCCCCCCTTCACAGCTACAATTTCTCTTCCTCTCTCTCTTTTTTTAACATTCACAGCAACTGAAGCATAAAATGACATAAGAGCAAGATGAATTACATAAAAGAAGACAACTCATTATTTAGAGTACCTTAGGAATTCTCTGTTTTATTGAATTATTTTCTAACATTCTTGGCTTTTCACTGATAAAGTCATTGGTAAATTGCTATAATTAAAGAAGCTGGCTGTGCTTGCCTTGTTCCTAGACAGACCTTCCCTACGAATCTGGGTAGAGATTGTGGGCTCACCGGCAGTTGCAGGAGAATAAAACATAATCACCCTCAATCAGTATTTTTGAATACCTGGAAATACCCTATGTTTAATTGCAGAACTTGATAGTTTCTATTGTAATCAAATAAACTTCTCTGAGAACAGTCATTTTTAAAGGTTGACGAAGGCGCTTTTGAGCAGTGATGGGTACCACCCTCCTTTCCAGATGTGTCACATTGATGGTTCCAAGAACCATGTCCTATCAGTTCGGCACTTCATAAGCCAAAAAGTCCACCTGAATTCCATGTCATTGGAGACACAGCCTTGTTTATAATGAAATCTCAAGCAGATTACTCAGCAGTGTTTAAAGAGTAGGCAGCCTGTTGCTCCACTTAAGTTAATGATAGCTCATGAGAAATAATTAGGATGGATATATCTACATAGACCTATTCTGGTGAAAATATGTAAGAATACCAAAGGAAAGAGATGCCAGCACAATTAACTTACAGACTCTGCATGTTCCATCACTGCTAACACAAAGAAGACATATTCTTGACCACTTTGGAGTTGCTTGTTTGTAAATCCACCATAATGTTTGTCATCCCCCAGGGTGAACTCAGTGGGAAGGACATCAAAGTGAGCAGCAATATATGGCTTTAATTCAACTTCTCTCCCATATCGGATGCTTCTGCGTTTCCTAGATATCTCTTTAAGCAGCTTAAGGAAAAAAGTGGGAAACAGAAAAAGAAAAGAAATGTAAACAACAATAACCCAACTTAATGACTATTTAACGGGAGAAATTAATTCAGGACTGGGAACAACTCAACTACAGTTTGTCCACACTTCATGTACCATGTCAGCATCACTAAGTCTCAGTTCTGTCTTTCAAATGCTTGTCTTGCTATTAAAGTAAGGTGCTAGACTGCTCTTGCAAGGCCCGGGTGATAAACACAGGACAATTAGACCCTTCCTTTGCTGATAGCTCATATCACTGTCTACCCTAATGAAATCTTCTCAAAGGGCAAGAGTACATTATAACCTAAGTAAAAAAAAGTCAGCTTGATTCACAAAAGCCTGTCACGCAGGCTTTATTATTGTTATTTATTAAATAAATAGTAACCTCAGATAAAGCCATCGATTATGATCAACTTTCGGAGAGGTTAGTACCATTTTAGATGGTTTTTAGTAGTGAGATCATTTATACAATACAAATATCCTCAAATCAGCAGAAATAGAATCCAATGACCAAGTTTTAATTGAAACATATTATATAGACATTGTCACTCATTTAACAATTTGTGGCTTGACTTGGTTTCTTGGCTCCTTAAATAACCTTTTGGTTATTCCTCACATTTATCATGACATCAACTTTTCTAGAGCTGATAGTTCCCTGGAGAGGTTCAATTATCTTCTCAGGTGAAATAGACAGGGTAGATAAGCATTAAATTTAATATTACCCTGAAGAAAACAAACACACACATGTACACAAAAATCCTTCACGTATCTCTAAAAGAAAAAGGTAGAACTTATGTTTCAATATTCCTGTTTTGCCTTCACCTTTTTCATTAGAAAGTCACATTAATGATATTTTATGACAAATGATTTCAAAATAATGTTGAAGTTAGCTTTGTCTTCTCCCCTTAAATATATTGGTATTTCATAGGGCGTAACCAGGGGAAAAAGTTTATAGCAGTCTGTGATGCCTTTTTTTTTCTTTTGGAATGAAACTTGTCTTCAACTCAATAAATAAAATTAAGGTACTAATGGAAACATTATGGTGAAATTATTTGCTACTCTTGTTATATAAGTGGAAATGATAAATCAAAAACCAAAGTAGTGGTATCTGCTTAGCTCCCAAGGCCAGGCTTCTGTGATAATGGTTGCAGATTCTATATACAGCAAACGTCAAATCCTTGTGTTAGGAACCTGACAGTATACTACCCAGGGTTGTAAATGAGCTCAGCTGGTCAGATGTAAATCAAATAGGTAAACACTCTTTGGGTTATATAGATAATCTGTGCCCACGTTGTTTTGAATCTAATTTCTAATGTTCTAATATTTTCTTTAACTTTGAGTTTATTGATGCAAGAAAATTACATGAACTATAAGCTCTTTTATGGGAATCCCAGTAGACTGGGATTTGCTAAACAAACAAATTTGTTTAGCAAATTTGGACTATCTGATGATACATTCAGGTAGGCTGATCAAATACGCACCAGTGAAGAGGAAATAAAACAAGGCCAAAGACTTAGCACTATCTTTGAGTCCTGCTGTCAAGTTTAGGTTTACTTATAATAAGGCTAATCACAATTATAGCTAATAATTATTAAGCATTTAGTTGAAACACTGTTCTCAGAAGCCTAAATATTTATTAGTTCACTTACTCCTTATAATAAACCCTATAAGGTAGGCTATTATTATATCCCCATTTTATAAATGAGGACATGAATGTATAACAGAAGTGGCGATATATAATCAATATATATTACATGTAAGGGATTTTTCAAATTATATTTTTGTTTGCTTAATCGTTACACAATATCAAGAAAACACAAATGCAACATTTAAGCTAAATCGATAATTTAAATTGTTTTAACTCAATCTATACTTAGACATATATAATTTTTGTGCATCTGTTCTCATTAATGTAGCTGAATATGTACTTAGATTTCCTTTTCCTGGATACTTTTAACATGTTATTTTAAAAATTCTGATGCCAAATATTTAATAGTGTACTGGAAAAGTCATTACAAAGGTTATTATTGATATGTAGTAAACAATGAGCCATTACTTTAAGGACAAACGTACTGCAGATGAGCTGAACAGCTTTTTGAAGTTGGTTAATCAGAAACATTTACCATCAGTTGTTTATGTGACTGTGTCCCCTCTTCCACTTCACTGATCAAACCCTACCTTGATTTTATCCATATTTCACATGTACACAACTATCATAATTCATCCATATCACTGTCATCCCCATGAACACCTTTTGCTAGGGTTTCTTTAGAAGACTTGGAGGAAGTACCTTAGAATAAAATATTTGGGTTTTTTGGTGTTCCTTAGATGCAGTGCAGCCATTCCTTAAGGTCAAACGTGGACTATCAACTCTGCCCTTGTAGGTTGCTCTAATCTCTGCAGGATGCTTCCTGTGTTATACTTTAATTGGTCAAGTGTACTCGGATGTTACCAAAGTTACCCAGTATGTTGAAGTTACAACTACAAATGACCACATTATTTGGGAGCAAGCCTTTGAAGTAAATGCGATGAAAAGCTTATGATATATTATAAAACCTGCACTGAATTAAATATAACTAATATTTTATGAGTCATTCTGTCCAAAATTCAGTTTGACTATCAACGTCTACTCTGCCCAGTCTGACCTTGACAACGGAAGTTCCAGTGCATGAATTTATTATGTGGAGATTATCCCCAGACAAAGGATAAATGAGCTCAGAAGATAATATTGAGAGTGACTCTGTTTAGGAAGCCTCTTTCCATTTTTTATGGGCCTAGATGTGAGGCATGCATGTGGAAATCCCCTTAGGCCACCATTATATTCAGTGATGCGGTTTCAACCATTTGAATTATAGGCCTTTCTAAAAAATCACTTGGTCAAATACATTTAAGAGAGGAACACTGCTTTGTCAAAGCTGGCAGTACCAAGCTATAGATAAAATTACAACAATGCTTTTATTATCCATGATGGGGGAAAAATGTCTGTAGGGATCAGAAACTGGATGAGTAAGCATAAAGTGAGGCCATAGACTAGTTTCATTTGTTCCCCTACACAATAGTTACAAAATGTATTGGAGGTAATTCCAGAAGATATATCAAGGGCTTTAGTTTTTTATCAGAAATAATTTTCATTTTCCAGTCAATGCATATCTTATTTCTTCCACCATTAATTCTACAATGTGGTCTCAATTATATCAGTAAGAAGAGTGGGAAACAACCCATCCTGACCCCAAAATTTTGAATTAATAAATGTTCTTTATCAAACTATTGTACAGATTAATGCACCACAACTTGCGGGATGATTAAAATGACCCGTTGTTATGGGAATCAGCAGCACAGACCCATAGAATTTAATTGCAGGAAAGTTCAATGTCATATAGCTCTATACTTTAATCCATTAGCATTGCTGTGCATTTTGGAGGTTAAAACCTGGCTATAAAAGAGAATCAGCTTCCTATTGCTAGTAAATGGTTCTACTTCTAGGAAAAGGTTATTATTTAAAAGTATTTGACATAATTTTTGGATTGGATTTTAATTCTTTGATAACTTGATTTTTGCTTTTTGTTTCTTGTTTTTAACAGGAGGAAAGATTCATAGATTCTACAAGTTACCTTTGCATTTTAAAACCAATTCCAATGGAATTCAGTAATTTATTTGAGAGCTGATTAATTAATAAGTAAATATAACAATCTCAAGATTAACTGATTAGTCAGTTGTAAGTAAAAGTACACCTTGCTTCAAAATGTTTAAAAAAGGGGCACCTAAAAAGAGGGAACATGATATGATGAGCACTGGGTGATATACTCAACTAATGAATCATTGAACATTATATCAAAAACTAATGATGCACTATACTTTGGCTAATTGAATTTATTTTTTTTTAAAGATTTTATTTATTTATTCATGAAAGTCAGAGAGAGAGAGAGGGAGAGGCAGAGGGAGAAGCAGGCTCCCAAGGAGCAGGGAGCCCGACGCGGGACTCGATCCCAGGACCCTGGGATCATGACCTTAGGCGAAGGCAGACGCTCAACCATCTGAGCCACCCAGGCGCCCAAATTGAATTTAAATTTAAAAAAGGGGGGGCACCGGCTTGGCTCAGTCAGTTAAGTGTCTGCCTTCAGCTCAGGTCATGATCCTGGAGTGCCGGGATCAAGCCCCACGTTGGGCTCCCGGCTCAGCGGAGAGTCTGCTTCTCCCTCTCCCCCTCCTCCTGCTCCTTCTCTCTCTTTCCCTTTCAGATAAATAGATAAAATCTTTAAGAAAAAAATGTTTACAAAAGACCAGCTGACATTTTGCATATTCAGATGGAAGATTACTATTCCTCTAACATAGAAAAATGATTTTATTCCTTCTTTATTAACAGAAAAAAATTATAACATAAATTACTTGACATTATTGAAATGATATACTGTTTTACACCCCTCCAATGCTTATCTAATCATTAAAGAGTGACATAAAAGCACAATCCTAACCTTGAACTCATCTCCTCTTCTGAACTTGATCAAGTTTAACTCAGATAACTGAAGTGGGTGAAGATGAACCATATGTCTAGAGAGGATATATGTCTGCCAAAAGAAGCTAACAGCCCTTATCTGTCAGATCACAGTCTCCTTAGTGCAGACATGTATGAAATAAACATCTCTTCCCTGTAATGCAGCTAAGGAATTTCTTCTTTCTCCTGCTGTGTTTGCACTAATTTAAAGTAGAGAAAATACCTGGAAACAACAGGTTGGGCTATAACATGTGGCCTATGTTGTAAATAAACTCAACAAATTAAAATCTCATGTGTCCCCAAGTGGGGGCCTTTTAATTTGCTTTCTGAAGTGATTCAAACCAGCATCGTGTTAAAATAGCAAAATCTTTCCTGTATTTGACTGAACCACAGCCATTAACTTGCTTGGCCCTTTGGGGATATAGCTTAACATTTCTGATCACAGTTTTCCCATCTAAATAGAATGTATAATATTTAGGTCTTTTTCTTCATACTATGTATTAGCTTCCAAAAATAAAACCCCAAAAACCAAAAACAAATGTTCTTTTTGCAAAAAGAGTATTAATTAAAATGTACCTACTATTGTTGTAAGATTTCAGAAATTAAAATCATACGATTTGATGTTTGCTGTGGTTTTTGTTCTATGTTTATTTCTTGGCTCAAAATTTGGGGATATGTTTGTTTGCCCCTGCAGTTAAATGCATTTTTGATTCTGAAATCCTACAAAATATAGAATAAGGCAAATGTGCTAATCAGCATAATTATCTGAGAAACTGGTCAAGAACGCATAGTAGGTCAGATGTTGAACTCTGGTGCAAACTGCAATTTAGCATTTGTAACAGCTTCGGCTACCACTACACTAATGAAGCAGACCTTGGAGTTCATAGCAATGATGATTATTAAGTCTTTGCTGACAATTCACTTCACCTTCCACACCTTGCATCATGTTTTACAAGGGACAAGGGGCAAAATATTAAAGCCAACAAAGATTAGACAGGTTGTAAGCTTTACTGCAGCTAAATGTCTTTTAATTAAAGCAAAGAGTTCTCTGTTGGGGTCCCTAGAGGTTATCAGGCCCATAGCACTGAACCATCCAACCAGCTGACTAGCCAACCATATAGAAGTCAGCACCTTCCTCCCATACAGATGAAGAGTATGTTTAATAAATTAAATAACCAATGAAAGACATAGCCAAAAAACACATAGTTACCTCATCTAATTCCATTTCATCTGGACTCTCCCATGGCTTGATAAATTTCCCACGAGATTTCTTCAAAGGCACAATTATTATGTAGTAACCTCTGTACAAGAATGGACAAAAATAAGATTAGATCAAAGGGAAAAGAAAATGGGTATGTTCTTAAATCTTCCACAGACCAGTGATTGAGAATGAAAGCAAATTATAGACATGGAGTGACTTGTCCATCAATGAGAAATAACCACCTGTTTGCCCAGTTTTAAAAACAACATGGGTAGACATTTATGTGTGACTTCAATGATCTCGTATGGTAATACCGTCATGGTTGACTGCTCTTTATTAGGTATTGTAAACAGAGCAGAAACAGTTTGTTAGGACCCTGGTGCTGCGCACATACAAGTTTAGTATACTGAAATCCAGCATCACAAGCTGCTGAACTAAGTATTTTCTATGACATCAATTTATAAGAGGATTTTATTTAAAGAAAATGTACAATAAAAATTACTCTTAGCTCATAAAAATGCCTAGATGATGATGACAATGATTTCATTTATACTAAAATACTTTTTATTTGGACAAGAAATTAAACACATAAAAATTACCCACAACTTCACAACACTTATATAATGATGTAATTGTTTTCTACCCATCAAATTGCAAACCTTAAGATAAATACTGCAGAAATTTGGAGACAATCACTATCTGAGAGCCTTCAAAATAGATCTCAAAAAATAAATGTATAAGAAGGGCAAACGAAATTGACACTACTCACATTAAGAATAGTCAACTAAAATTTAAGTAACTATAAAGGTATCTGTTCACAGGTAGATATGGGTTATTTGAAAAATCGTTTTGCAATTTCCACAAAATGTATACCCTGCTCTTGTATTCATGGTTTATGGACTCTGCTTGATTTTTGGTAGTAACTATACAAGAACTTTAAATGTATGTGTATAAGAACTAACACATCAGTCACTTTCTACCTCTCAGGCATTGTATTAAATGTATACAGTCTCAAAAACTATATAAGGACAGGTAACAGACAAAAAGGTAAATCCAGAGAGATTAAATTATGACCCAAGTTAAAACACATAGTAAGGGGATACAAACCTATATATATCTGAACCTTGGCAAGAGTCCGGCTCTTTTTCTGTTTCATTTACTCTGTATTACAAAGTACTTTAAAAACTCCATTATTTTGTGGAGACTTGTTGTGAAAATCAACACACACACACACACACACACATTTTTAAAAGAGAAGGTTGCCACACAGGGACAAGTGACCGCAGGATGGGCACTACCAACCTTGCATCACATTATATCACAGAGACCAACAGCACACACAGGAAGGCCTCTTTCTACTTATATCAAAACAAAACCTGCAATAAACTCAGTAAAACCTTGTGATAAAGATCTCTGTTTCCATAAACGGAGTCTAGAGCTGCACTGTCCAATATGGTAGCCACTAGCGAGACATGTGGCTAGTCTGAACTGAAATGTGGTCGCAGTGTTAAAGACATTAGATTTTTAAGACTTAGTATGAAAAGTAAATGTAAGATATCTTGGCAATACATTTTTAATAGTGACGATATGTTAAATGATAATATTCTGGCTATGTTAGGTAAAATAAAATATGCTATTAAAATTAACTTTACCCAGGGCGCCTGGGTGGCTCAGTTGGTTAAGCGACTGCCTTCGGCTCAGGTCATGATCCCGGAGTCCCGGGATCGAGTCCCACATCGGGTTCCCGGCTCAGCGGGGAGCCTGCTTCTCCCTCTGACCCTCTCCCCTCTCATGCTGTTTCTCTCTCTCTCTCTCTCTCTCAAATAAATAAATAAAATCTTTAAAAAAAAATTAACTTTACCCATTTTCTTGTACTTTTTACTGTAGTTGCTAGAAAATTGAAAATTTCTTTCGCATGTGGCTTTCATGGTATTGAACAGTGCTATATTAGAGTGTTTTGGTGAAGAATGTGGCATCTGGAGATACATCTGGCCCACAATTAAAGCTCTGTGACTAATTTGCTGTGTGATCTTGGGCTGATCATTTAACATCCCTTAATCTCAGTTGTATGCTCTGAAAAATGTGAGCACAGTGTGTGTGGCAGGTAGCACCAAACTGATGCAAGCCGCTATTGTTAGTACTGACCATAATCGTGGGAGGAATCCATCTGAACTGTGTTATTCAAGTAGGACTTAGTGACATTCCCTGAGATGCAAGTTCAGGAACTTGTCAAACATTTTTTCTCCCTAATCAAGAATTCAGGTCAAACCAGACAACTATACTGGAACCTTCTCTCCATGGTACTCTGAGCAACTAATCAACAGACTCCCAGAATCACATCACCGATCCAATCATTTTCTTTCCTACCAATAATCATGATGATCGAAGAGGATGAGAAGGAAGAGCTGGAGTGTGTGAGAGAGGCCAGTATCTTGTACTTTATGATCCAGAGTAAGCTTCCTCCTCTTCCTATCTTTCTACCACCTGAAGGATTTGCCAAACAAGTCCATCATGTTAAATGAGCCTGGAGAAGAATGACAGGGGCTGCAACTGAGCGTACAAAATAACACTGCAGATGTACTTGATAAACACACTCATTAGGGAACCTCTTGCTTTTCACTACCAATTGCACCAAGTCAGTACTGCTTCTCTTTGCCTAAAGTAATGATATTACACATTATTGAGAGCTCCCATTGTCCTCTTTCCGAATCTTGGAAATCAAGGTTAAGATGATGAATTCTATTAATTTTTCCTCTGCTTTCATACTTGAGTTACTATTCTTGTACATGAAAAAAGAATCCATTCTTTTCTTCTGCAGTACTCCCCAACTGTTCGTTTAACTTGTGGCTGGGATAAGAATTGAACAGCCTCCCCCATAGCAAGTAATTAACAGTGTGGCTGGATATGCATGGCCTTTTCTGTCTCCTGATGTCCAAAGCATTCATCTAGCGCAGTCAAAGTGGAGCCACATCAAAGCAGCTCTCATCCATTGAAAGAAATCTGTCATAGGGCATTTGGAACTCCGTATTATAAGAAAGTCTGTCCTGGGACTAAATCCACACATTTTCAACCATGTTCTCTGCAACTATGGCTTTGCAAACACCCATATCTTTGCCTTTCCTGAAACCTGGTTTTTCCCTGACAATCCTGCTTCCCTCACAGGCTTCTCATGTGGTGTCTGTTTATTCATGCCCCTCCCCACCCACTCACCTCAGATAGAGGGCCTAGGGTTTCCCTCCTGGCTCACTGTTGCTTCTTCCAGGTATTTTTTCCTCCCCCTTAAGCTAAAAACAAAAAGCAGGCCAAAAAACAAGTGCCTGTTTTTTTGAAGCTCATATATTTCAGCTATATTTTTATTATTTTATTATACTCTTCTCTCACTGATTTTTGTCATCTACGAACCTCTTCAGAAACCCCCTTCTCCCTCCCTCCCTCCCTCTCTTCCTTCCTTCCCCTTCTTTCCTTCTCTCTCTCTTTCTCCACCCCCTCTTTTTTTTCCCCCAGGGTCAATGGTCTTCCTTTTCTCCCAAACTCTGCCATCATCCTGGGTGATTTCAAGCTCCAGAGGGCACCATGCATCACCCAGGGCTCTCAGATCTTTGATTCTTCTTTTCTGGAGACTGCATCTTCCACTGTGTATTAGCTAAAATCTGTAATTGCCCTTCTCTGTGCCTGAAGCCAAGGAGCTGCATACGGTTTGAGAAATAATGCACAGGGGAGAATGATTTTGTAAATTCATATTCGGCAACTTCAGGCCTTTGATGCTGCCTGGCCATCCCACCACAATTTCTCCAGGTACCTTATCCTTCCATTTTGTAAAACAAGTTTTTCATACTCTCTCCCCTGGCCTTGAACCTTAGACATCCTTACCTCCTCACTAGAAGATAGCTTTATGTTTATGTAAAGAGAAAATAAAAACATTCAGACTAGAACTCTCTCATCTTCAACCTACCAAACTATAAGGCTACTTGCATCTATATGTAACCACAATCTGTCCTTTGGGCACAGTAGAGGGGCTGGTTCTATTTGTGAAGGCCAATCACTTTCTTGAATTGGTTCCCATCATCCACTCTCTTAGGAAGTTGACTATACGTCATAATCCCTCTCTCTCATATGTCTCAACTTCTCCCTCCCCTTTGGCTTCTATTAGCTTCCAACCCTGTATAAATACCTGACATTTAAAAAACAAACAAACCACATCCCACTCCAGTCATCTTTCTTGCTCCATCCTACCCCTTACTACCTGATTTCTGAGGAGACCTGTGTTTCTTGCTGTTCTCCATTACCTCATCTTCTTCTCACTTTCCACCCAATTATATTCTAGGTTCTGCCTCATTAGCCCACCTCATTGCCCATGACAGGGTCCTCAGTGACTCTGGTAGGACTGCATCAAAAGGAGAGTTTTTGACTTTTGTCTTATGTGATCTCTTAGCAGAATTTGAAAATGTTAATGAGAGCTTTCATGAAACATTCTCAGCCATTTCTCTATACCCAACTCTTCTGGTTTTCCACTTACATCTCTTAACACATTAATCTTACTTCTTTAACAGGATTTATTACCCACTGCCTTGCTATTAAATGGTAGAATCCCTCAAGTTCTGGCCAAAGACTTCTCTTTACTCCCTCTTCTTCCTACATGGTCTCATTCTAGCTCAGGGCATCAGTTATCACCTAGATGCAAATTATCTGCTGATTCATATCTTCATCCCAGAATGCCCCTTCTGTATTCTGCAGGTTTATCCAATTCCAACTCCATTTCTTCATGTCTATGTCACAAAACTACCTCAAATTTACTGTGGTTAAAACAAAACAAACGATATGCTTCCAAAACAAATCTCCCACCATTGCACCATGATCCATTTGCTATAAACCTAGATATTATCACTGACAATTTGTTTTAACTCTTTCCCTCTCTCATATCCAGTGCACCACCAAGTCCTATTACTTCCAGACTCTATCTATAGTCCACTCGCTTCTTCATCCCAGCAGCCACCACTCCGGCCTCTTTCCATGTCTCAAGCTACCTTTGTCTCCCGACTTTCTCTCTTCTTTGAACCTAACCGCCTCTATTCCAGTCTCTGAAATTTTCATTTTGCAATA